TATATATATATATATATATATAATTCTGTATCTTTACAGATATAAAGAATATGTTAAGAATTATTTTGGCAAGTATCCAGACAAGAGAAATCTACCATTTGACAGCAAGATTCTGCACTTCTCCATTTTTGTCTTCTAATAACTTAAGAAGCATTTTTACAACTTTGCGCTCAGAATCATCATCCAGTTTAATGCTGTCCTTCTGTAATTCACTCATCAAATCATTAGTTGCCATAAATCTGAAGTCCTTGTCACTGGATGTCATCTGCAAAGAGAATACAGATGTTATCATATAACAAAAACAAGAAGAAGGTGTAATAAGTGTACATAATGGAAACACATGATACATTTAATCGCAAAATTAGAAATATCAATTTACAATAATGCATCAAAAAATCAAAGACTTATTTAGTATCTAGTTAATTAATATAATTGAAGATAAACATATATAAGCTTTTGAGACAGATCCACATGTAAACAAATATATGGAACTATCCATGCAATATATTTGTAGCCGACAAAACCAGTCAAAAAGTGTTCAATTTTTTTTTATGTTATATTAATTGATGAAAAAATTAGAATGCTGATCATTCTTCATTCTGATCATAATATTTTACAGTACATAATTGCTTATTATAACATAACTATTGTCCTACAGCCAGAATTAAGATAAAATAATCTTGCCTATTCAAACAAAAGAGACTTGAATAGAACTAAAAATAATATGTTTTATCAGTCAATGGATGATTAAAATACTTTTATGTTTATATAAGTATTACACAATAAACATTCTTATTAGCTGAACTTTTCATACTTCTTGTTTATCTTTTTTCTCTAACATGGAGAGAAAAGAAGATAAATTGTGAAAGCAAGAAGTTCAATTATAAAACAGATTTTGTATTGCTGATTTCTTATTGTACATAATATTAGGACCATTATCCTGTTGTCAGTGTGAAAAGATAAGATAATCCTGCCTATTCAAACAAATAAAAGAAACTATGTTTTAATTAGAATTAAACATATAAACAGAAATACTTCAAAATCAGTACATACATGTGTATTATATTACTTTTCCTATCTTTCTAATAGTCATGGACCATTTTAAACTTTAAAGGCCCAACTTTATTCGAAAATTTTGCTTTAGAAAAATATGTATATTTAACATTCGATCAAATGTAAAATATGATTAATTTTGAGAATATGTTTCGCGACTCCTGTAAAGATTAACGACTAATCATTCTTTGGGGTAAGGGATGAATTCGAGGTTATGTCGCAAAAAAAAAGATACCATGATGGAATAAGATTTTACGAACAGGACATTTCCTCGATGTAGCTATCAATACATTGCCATTGCCGTTTCATTACCTTTTCCAGTAGATTCGCTATTTGATAGGACACACTAGCCATGATTGTAGAGCCCTTTCACAGCCGGTTAAACGACGACGACGACGGTGATCGAGCGTACGACCCCGAGATATAAATCCGGAGAAGGTGCCGAGTGGCGCGTGTCTTGCAACGAAAATAAGAAAGGAAAAACAAACCGGAATGCCCGGTGACACGAGTATACGCGGAAGCCAAACCCGCGTAAAGTCAAAGGAACCGATTCAATCAAAGTATAAGAGCGACACTTTTGTTTTCTTTTCTTTTTTTCCTCTCTTTCTCTCTCTTTCTCCTTCCTCCTTTTTATTACGATCCTACTATCGACAGCATCTCCAACGCGATCCTCGATATGCCGAAATTTTGACGGTGTCGAACGTATGCGTTCCTAAAGCCGTCACGAGGGAGCCGCCATAAACCTTGAACCATATCATAGGTCGGTATTCATAGTCGATTCTTATTTCAAAATCTTAAGTAATGTCTTAAGACGTTAATGTAGCTCTCTGATTGGTTCGTGATTTCTTAATACCGTACTTATGGATACTATATGAATGTCGGTCATAAACTTCTATTACACGATACGCTTAATCGGGTTTAATAACATCTGTAGTTATGTAATTGGCCAATCATAGTTGTTCCTTGGAAGAATAAAACGACTGTGATTGGCCAGTTTTATAATTATGCATGTATTCAACTCAATTAAGGCTTAAACACAATAGGCAACAGGGAATAACGAACCGTCCAATCGACTCAATCTGGAGTGTAAATTCGATATTATATTCCAGAGCTCTGATTGGACAACTCGTTATTCCCTGTTTCCTATTGCCTGTACTTATTGTATTAAAGGGCCCTAAGGGCCCGGAGATAATTGAAGAATGCTGACATTATCAATAATTGATATAAATTTGCTATTATTAACATAAATATTTGGTTCATACATTATTAAATTCATGATTTTTTATTACATAAATGTTCTATAAATAAATATGCATACTTGTAAAGCTATAATATTCTATATATTGCAGAAAAATGACAATTTTTTTCTCTACAGTTATCATCTCTGTTGATCAAATTTTAATGATAGCACTGAAATCACTAAAGAAAAATCGAATATTATTAAGTTCTAAATGCATAAATATGTCCACTAAACTAATAAATCATAAAATTAGTACAATATTTTCAGTTTTTAACTCTTAATTACTTCAATATTCAAAAAGACGCCAACTCCCGTAAGGATGTCGGTTTTTAATAGTATCTCGTCGGTGATTCTGTACTATAAACGCTCACTGAACACTCAGTGAGCTTTTGCATCTAATTGGCATATTCCATTAGATCTAAAAATATGAACCAATCAAATACGAGTGAGCGAACACTCTCAACTATTAAATCCGCTGAACGTAGCCAATGTGATTGATTGAATCTATAGTAACAACCAATCTATAGTAACAATTATGTTTATTTGCTTGGCGAGCAGGCTAGCCGCTTTGTCGACTTGAACGCGTCTATCATTATTAATAATAGGAATATTAATTTAATTTTGTCAACTACCTTTAGCGCAATCATTGACCTTGTTCAATATTTCATTGTTTTTACATTAACACGAGCATCTTTATATTTTTATAATATATCAACTATATAAAGGTATAGTAACTACATTATAATTTGTGTACATTGTTTAATATATGTACTTAGCACTGATTTCTGCTGAACGACAATTTTTAATATGTTGGAAAGAATTATGATTGCTTAACAATATATTTGGAAATAAACTGCTGACAACGTTTAACAGAAAATCTTACAACAGTTACAAAACTGCTTTTTGCAGCCATTATAATAGGATTTAGTGTGTCAAATCAATTGCAATTTAGGCTGATGTTCATAAGGCTTATTCTTTTTAGCTGAATTTCTTGTATGGTTCATCTTTTCTCTTTTTCTCTTCAACGTGGAGAGAAAAGAAAGACAAACCATATAAGAACTTTAGCTGAAAAGAACCTATATAGTCTAACAAAATTTTATCGTTTGGAATCGATGTTAAACTATAGATCCCATATAACTGTATTGTACAACCAGCCTGCATCCACAGGCCTATGAGAAAAGTCATCACGCTCATCATCCACTAGCAATAGGACTAAAAAGAATGTCTTATCCTCTCGTGATAAGAAACAAGCAGTATTTCATATTTACAGGAATTACCAAAGTTTTTATGATTACTTAACATCTTTACACGACAGTATTAACGATAATCTTGTAATTACAATTTGTTAAATAATAGAATAAATATATGGGCATAGATTTACTCGACGATCCCTCAAATAAAAATTTATATCGATATTGGTATAATTCGACAACAGCAACGTGTGGATGATATAATTGTTTGTTGAAGGAATAAAAAACTAAAGTTATGCAAAATAATTTATGTATACATACATCACTAATATATTATGTTACATGGAACACAGACCTTTTACTTTCGACATTCTATAGTTTTTCATGTGAATGGCTGTTGTGAAGTTTTAAAAAATAAACACGTACCTCGTTAGTAATTTTGATATCGATGAGATTCTTTTAAACAATCTTACGGACGTTCGCGTGATTAAATTTGAGTAGTTAGCTCATAATGCAATATTAATTTTATCATTTTTTATTTTATTACAATTTATTATTAAAATTTTTAATCTTTCATAGACATATACATACAATAAGATAATATTTGATTTTTATTTATAACTGCACGATTATTCATGCGGATCGTAAAAAGATAGTAGTTTTGTCAAAATTGAGTTGTAAATTTGTACACTTATTTATGAAACATTGGCATAATAATAAATAATAAATTTAACACCGCATTATAAGCTAATATTTATATTAGTGTCTCAAAAAGTTGATAATCTATTTTAATGTCTAATATCTTGTCGATGGTTTTGAACACTCTAAAGCACATTTCCATGGGCAACAGTTGCTTGCAAATAGATAGTATATTACATATATATAACTTAATCTCCTTAATACTGGATCTCATAGAACTCTGCGCTGTAGGAGTAAGCGCTGATAAATTACGCGTTGTCATGAGTAATGTTGTACAATTCTGTGTATTACAAATGTTCGCGACTGTATTAAAGAGGAAGATTACCATATATATATATATATTTTTTATATATATATATATATATGTATGTATACACACACATAAAAAAATACATTATTTTGTTTTATATATTTTATCTTCCAGTCTTCCAGTCGTATCACTTTTGTATGTCACAGACTTGTTCAAAACTATTCTACTTTTTATTTTTTTCTCTTTCTGTAAAGTTACGCAAAAAATCGAACTGTAAAATATTACTCTTTGACGAGAATACATTACGCATATAAAGTTATTACTGTAATTATTACTTTCAGACATTCCTGAAATCTTTTAACAATTGAGTACATATTCTCGGCAAAAATAGTCTTAGTAATATATTATCAATTATTTTTTTGCTACCTATGAAATTGCAGGTATTTCGAAGTTTACACTGAGATTTTCAGATTGAGCTAATTTAACAATGGTTGATAATTTTACTGCCACCCGGGCGGCCTCGTCGAGATCGTCGATTGGTACAATTTTTAAACCCGCATTCGCGATCAGAGCCTTAGCTTCGTCCACATTAGTACCCTAAAAAGTAAAGAAAAAAAATATCTTTGTGTAATTCCATAAGCAATTGTAATCATCATAATAATTATTTATAAAACAAAGTGCATGTCGTACCTGCAATCTTACAACGACGGGAATTTTTAAGCTTAATTCTTTAGTCGCGGCGATAATACCTTCTGCTATAACGTCGCATCTCATGATGCCGCCGAAGATATTAACTAAGAGAGCATGAACCTGATAGAAAAAAAGAATGCATGTAAATTCAGTTAAATCATAGAGACTCAATCATAATTTCATACACTCACTCGTGGATCAGAAGTGATAATCTTAAATGCTTCCTTCACCGCCGAAGTCGACGCACCACCGCCAACGTCGAGAAAATTAGCCGGCTCGCCACCGTGCAATTTTATAATGTCCATCGTAGCCATGGCTAAACCAGCTCCATTCACCATACAACCTATGTTGCCATCGAGCGCGATGTAATTTAAGTCAAATTTCGCAGCTTCGACTTCTTTAGAATCCTCCTGAGTCCAGTCTCTCAAATTAAAGAGTTCCTTTTGCCTGTACTCGGCATTGTCGTCGAACCGGCACTTGCAATCCAGAGCAAAGTCTGTAAAAGAAAATATGTAGGAAGATTCGTGTAAATTAAGCATTTATAAAATATTAAGAGAGACAAAAATTTACAATTCCCGTTTATGTCCTCGGCAAGAGGATTCACTTCCAAAAGAAGAGCGTCTTTCTTGAGAAACATTTGATAAAGATTTATAATTATATTGGAAATGTAGTCCTTCACGTTATCGAGGCCAAGCTTGACTACTATACGTTCCGCCTGTTCCTTCGTAATTCCCTTATTGATGTCGATAGGTTCATACATGATAGCGCTAGGATTTGTCGCTGCGACTTCTTCGATGTTTACCCCACCTTGACTGGAAGCTATTATGACAGGACCCTGGGAATGAAAAATATCCATTAGAAATTTAATGTAATAACTTTTCAAATGCGCTTTTCATTATTTTAAAAACTTACACCAAAGGCTCTTTCCATCATGACAGCAAGATAGTACTCTTTACGGGGAAACATGCGCTGAGTGACCATCACAGCGTTGCATATTCTGCCACCTTCGCCAGTCTGTTTTGTAATCAGTAATTTGCCGAGCATTTGACCCGCCAACGACTTAGCTTCTTCTGGACTATAAGCAATGATAATAAGCTACAGTATTTTGCAACACATCTAGAGTACATGTCGCATGCAATCTAATCAAAAGGGCTGTAATTACGTTTCACACATCTTCACTCCGCTAACACTCGTTCCTTTGAAGTGTCCTTTTCCTCTGCCACCAGCGAGGACTTGGGCCTTCAAGACGATATCCTTTGTCTTCAAATCGGCAGCGAGTTTAGCTGCTTCGCCAGGAGTTTTGGCGACGCCGAATTTAGGTGTCGGCACGCCAGCTTCATTGAGTAAACTGTAGCTAATGTGTTCATGAACGTTCAAATTCCTAGTCGGTTGTTTGACCAAGCTAGTATTGCACGCCAATATCTAAAAAAGGGTGTGACAAAAAAGTACAGTGATAAACTCTTGTATTTTGAATCATACGCAGTAGATACTCCCAACTCTAGCGTCATTATTATTGATAATAATGCATGCCAAAGTTTACTTTGTATACACTTTGCACATTGATCAGGATGAAGAAAGAAATGTAAATAAAAATTACACGACGTATTGATATCAAGAAGATAAAATATGCATAGGTTAAAGTATATGCAAATTGGTTTGTCAGTCATAAATCATGTAACAGTTAAATATAAATCTACACTTGAAGGCTGAATGGCAATAAGCTACGCACATGTTCATCACCTACATACAGCTTTTACATGTGTTTTGGCAATGACACTTCATCTGCAATAAAGTGAATTGTATAACAGTTTAAAATGACATTCCTTTAACGTTCTTTAAATACAGATTCTTCAACAATCTTTGAACACAAATAAGTTCTAAACAGACAGCTAATGTTCTCAAAATATTAATTAATATCGCTTGTTATTTCCTGTTGCATCTATCAATTGCATTTAAAACTTTGAAGTAATTGATTACATTATTCAACAAAAAATTAATTTTTTTGGTACAATCTCAGTTCGGGCACTAAACATAATTCCGTTACCAACCCAAGTAGTACACAGTGCTTACAAAACATTAACAAAGCGCTAAAAAAGCTAAAAAATAGTCGCTTATGTTTTTTAACGCTTTGTTAACTAGTGTGCTATTTGAGAAATTGCTCTATAACAATAATAGTATCATAATTTCGAAAAATTTGCAAAGTTAAAGTTGTAAAATGGACTGTTTTATAATTAGCATGTTATTATGACGTGTTGGAGAAGATTTATTGCATCAAAAAGCAATAATATACATATAATACAATACTATACTCTACCAATACTTGAAATATATAGTAATATATAATAATGTGAACTACAGATTTTCAGTACTAACAGCATCTATCGAAACATCATCAATATAAACTCTATTGGTGTAAGTACTAATATCGTGTTAAAGTCAATAAATTCAAAATGATCAATATGATCGGTCATCAATGGTGAAAATAAAAATTTAAAAAACGTTCAAATTTTTAGAATAATTCATTTGTATAAGAATTTTTCACATTCAATTTTCAATTTAAATTAAGTTATCAGCTTTAATAGATTATTATATTCAGCGACCTGAAACTTTTATGTTTAAATAACATAATTAAAAAATATTTTTGGCAGATCTTTTATATGTAAATCGCAATTTTGAGGCAATTAATACAAACTTCATATTAATCATAAATATCTTTCTAATCAACTTTAAAAAAAAATCTTTTTAAAGACTGAAATAATACATAATACATAATACTTAGATACTTAGCTTGATAAGTCAATTATAAAAACATTGCACAATAATAGCATTATGACAACAATTTTGCAATAATTAGATTACGATAATTTACCATAACAGCAACAGTTTCGTCAGAATAAAATTTCAAAATGATATTTGTCAAAAATTAGATAAATCTAATGTAAAGTGTAGATATTTTTTTCAATTCACTTTTTTTCAAGAACATAAATAAACGTCGACAGCATATTGAAGAAACAAATCAAGCTACGTTATCTGATTATTTTAAAATGTTTGACGAACACTTCTGAAAAATCGGAGATGTATCAGTGCATCTGAAAAGCCGTTTGACTTAAAAATGTTTAATGTAGTTATATCAAAATTATAATATTTTAGGCTAAAATATTTATAATTATGCATTTTTATGAGTATGTTTGTATTTATATTTCTAAAATACAGCTAAAAAATATTTTTTTCAATTGTCGAACAATTTTTTTCTAACAATTTGGTAAATTTTCCACCATATTGTTTTGCTGAAATATTTACATCGAAATTAATTAAGCAAATATCCATATTTTAGAAGAAATCAGAATTTCTACATCTGTTTTTGTAAATGTACTAGCATAATCGCAAATTACATATTTTAGGCAAAATAACGGACATATAATTTAATAAAAATCCATTGTTCTATCGGGGTGCATATTCTAGTGTTATGGCGAATTTGAATGCACTAGAGTGAACTGGTGCATAAATTCGTTGTACACTGATCTGATCTGAATATATATAAATGTAAAATAATTCGGAAAGTAAAATGCCCAATACATATTTTACCAAATAGACAATAAAGTGTATTGAGAATTGTTTCTATGTTTGTATTAAACACACATACGTCCCACCTTTTTGTTCTTAGTTTTTTTCATATTTCTGATCTAATTTGTATGCACATATGAGTACTTTTTAGACTCTTAGGGATCTAAGTTATGCAACTTTCATGAAAAATTACGTTAATTTATTTATTTACAATTTTGTTATAAACAATTAATTAATGTAAAAAAAAACTCGTTTTTTTTTCAGAATAAATTCGAGAAACTATAATATATATATTTTTCAGAATTTTCTGCTTGTTAGGTTTTCCGAAAAAAATTTCTGAAATTTTGGAAAATTGATCTTTTATAAGTCTATTATTTATTATTTATTTTGTAATTCTGATAAGAATCGTAATCAACGATCCCGAAAATCCACAGATGACCTATGATTTTAATAATTTGTTTAGAAAAAAAATGTCCTTCAAAGAGTTAAACAACATACGTTATTGATCAACAAAAATAGTTATTGATTAACTTAATAAATGCTTAAACAAATCTAGTTTTTCATGGAATTTTAATTCATAATTTACGAAAATATTGATATTCTGATCAGATAAATCATCATAATAAGAACGAAGCTGGGAAAATTCCATGACATAAAAAAAACATACTATCGGCTTTTTAACTGAAAATTTCTATCCCTAATTAATTTGCTCGTCGATGACTTTGACAACCAAAACACATGCGTCGTTGTCGCAAGTCAAGATCGTGTCTCATCGCTGAAAATAAATTTATGTTCCAGCGAGAGAGAAAAAGAGAAGAAGCGAGGATTTTAATCGATCGTGCGCGAGGTAGGGGGAGGAGGTATCACGAAAGTATCGATTGTTCTTTCGTTTCAATTCAAATTGAATCCGTGTCGTTCTATTCGACTCGTTCGATGAGAAACAAAAAGCTATCGAGGACAATTGTCGAGGCCGACGCGTAGTAAGTGACTATTTGACAAGTATTTATTCCCTCACGCGAGCGAGCATGCAGTAATTCGATAGAACGCGAAAACGAACGACGAGAACATCGATGGAAAGACGCGAGAGGCGGTTCCCTGATCGGTTGCGTAACTGTCACGCCGATTTATCAGGAGGGTGGCGAGGGGAGGGGAGAGAAAATTCTATTGACGAGATTCTCAGGGCTCGACTTCAAATCGCTCACGACCCTGGCGCTCGATTTAGCAGACTACAGCTGTCCGATATGGCGATCGGCGACCTTCGCTCTGTCTTGCTCGCACTCGCTTATCCTTCTTTTTCTCTCCTTTTCAGCCGATCCGTATCAATCCCGGGATTCACCCGGGACACATTCGTACGAACGTGCTAAAGCCACGCGATTAACGTGAATGCGGAAAAACCCATCGGCTTGACGACATACCTTGGGACTGCTCAGTCGACCGAGACTTTCCGCGAGTAAGATCGCCCGCGACAACATGGTAGCCATCTTTGCCTGAGCGACAGCCGTGGACTGTGGCACTGAGGTCTACAACTGGGAGTGTTCAGTGTGGTGGTCTGCCAGAAGCAGTTTACAGTTTACCGCCTTCGCCCCTCATGGCCCCCACCCAGGTTTGACGTTTCCTACGCGCAACACATCACGCAGAACCTCACCTTACACGAAAATCACACCGAGTCACACTGGGTTCTTTCCGTAGTGTGATATAAGTCGACACTAACGTCTTTCTGCCTTTGTGTGCTTTTCAGTAAACGACACGGTATGAAAGGTGCTATTTTATTTGTGCGTTTTTGTCGTATGACAAATTTTTAAAGCCTTGGAACAAAAAGTTCTCGACTGAAACACGAAAAAAAGTGTATGTTTACTTTTGATCCAAGAATCAGTTTGTCGAAAAATGTTTTCTTTTTTTCAAATTTCTGGTTTAACTTACGGAATTACTCTTTTGGAATGTTTGTGGGACAATTGGAATAATTTATAGCGATAAGAAATTGTTTAATTTTTGTGAAAAAAAAAGAACCAGTTAAAAAAAATTTTTTTTTCATTTGATATATAGAATTCTTTTTAGAACAATGTTTTGAACAACTAGAAATCTATCTATCAACAATCTCATATCTATAGATGTAAGAAATTGATTTTTTTTTTAAAAAGGGGATCAACTGTAAATGTTTAAAAATTTTATTAGAGAATCACTTGGAATAAAGCAATATATATTGCTTTGGAATAATGTGAGAATAAAAAATACTATACAAAGTTTGAACGATTTGAAACAATTTAAAAAATTATAATTTTCAAAAAAAAGGAGGATACTTTATACACACACACATTCGCGAGAAAGTATAATTAAATTATTTTAATATTCCTAAAAACTATGAATCCATAGACATTGCCTAAGATTCGAGATGATCTCTTAAGCTAGTGCTTGAAATGTCATGAATCAATTAGAGCTATATTAGCATCTTAAGATATTGTTCGAGATTGTCTTGAGATTAAGAACGGACTATGGATTTCGATCTATGAATCATCAGCATCTTATCTCATTCGTATGTAATAATAATATACACGCGTTTTATATGTGTATAAAAAGATATATTTCGTCAATATGTAAATACAAAATATTTGACAAACTCTTTCAAAGGTCTCAGTTTTTTATTTATTTTTAGAATTATTTTTTGGTATTTTTAATACTAAAAGTGAGATCTAAATCCGAAGTTTTCGCAATATTCATCATCGATGCTAACTTGACAGATGTCTCAGCTGCTTGAGCAAAATCGTCCACGGGAATTACTTTTAGCTTAGCATCCAATATCAATTGTTTAGCTTTATCGACATTAGTACCCTACAAAGAAATAAGCGGTTTAAAAAATGTTACAAGGCTAATATATGTAACTTAAAGATAATCACCTGTAATCGCGTGATTATGGGTACGTTCAAATTCAACTGTTTCGTAGCGTCTATGATCCCTTGTGCGATTATATCACATCTCATTATGCCGCCGAAAATATTCACCAAAATAGCTTCCACCTGCAAGGTCATTGATATATCAATTTTTTTATATCATTTTAACTCTCGATTTTTCTAATTACATTTGGGTCCGAAGATAGTATCTTGAAGCCTTCCGTCACTGTCTCGACTGTAGCGGTGCCGCCGACGTCCAAAAAATTTGCCGGCATACCGCCGCAGAGTTTTATGATATCCATAGTGGCCATCGCCAGTCCGGCTCCGTTCACCATGCAGCCAATATTTCCGTCGAGAGCTATGTAATTCAAGTTGTGCTTCTCCGCCACGACCTCTTTCGGGTCCATCTGGGTTGTGTCTTTCAGGTTGAACAGCTCCTTCTGCCGAAAATCGGCACTGTCGTCAAATTTGCATTTGCAATCCAGAGCGTAATCTGCGGTAATAAGACGCAGAATGTAACATTATTTAGTCTTATTATTGAAAAACTTATTATGTTTTCTTTTTTCTCGTATCTTATCTCATTCGTTGCAGCGTACATTCGCCACAGATGTCTTCTGCGAACGGATTGATCTCGAGCAGCAGGGCGTCCTTCTCGACGAACAAGTCATAGAGATTGGAGGCGACGAGCGACGCGATCTCCTTGCTGTTCCCCGTGAGTCCCAGTTTATCGGCGACGCTGTTCGCTTGCTCGGGTGTTAAACCTTTCTTCACATCGATCGGTATATATGCTATAGCTTCGGGATTCGCAGCAGCGACGTCTTCAATGTTTACTCCGCCTTGCTGGGAAACGATTATTACAGGCCCCTTGTGAAACATAAACGTATAGCGTTTAGATTGAATTGTTTCTGGATGGAAGAGCGATAGTAACTTACAATTATAAGCGACGGGTGAATTAAACCCATTTTATAGTTAATTTTTATAGAATATTTTCTTTAGATATTTCTACAATTAATAACAAATGAGTCATAATATAATACAAAGCTAATCCTTGGAGGTCAATAAATCGTAAAAAATATGATAATGTCTAATAATATAAATCACTAATATACGGAATGAGTAAAATACTTAATACTTTATTAACTTATAAAATAATATAGGACTATATATACTCATACTTACATCGAAGGCACGTTCCAACATCACTGCCATATAATACTCTTTACGTGGAAACATACGCGTTGTTACCATCACAGAATTGCATATCTTTCCAGCTGCTCCCGTCTGTTTAGTCACAAGCTCCTTGTTAATCATATTATCTGCCAATTCTTTTACCTGTTCGATTCTGCAATGAAAGAGATTACAGCCTCTCGTTTCTTTCTACTATGAATTCACGGGCTCCGTCACGTACTCACGTATTGCACATTACGACACCGCTAACATTGCTATTCTTAAACTGTCCCTTCGCTCTACCTCCAGCCAGAACTTGTGCTTTCAGCACGAGATCCTTCGTATTCAGATTCTTGGCTAGAGTGGCAGCTTCATCGGATGTCTTTGCCACCCAGAAAGGCGGGGTAGGAATGCCAGCTTCTTTTAATAAAGTGTACGCCATGTGCTCATGCACCTCCAAATTTCGAACCATTTGTTTAATAACCGAAGTGTTGTGCGCTAACAGCTACAAAGAACAAAGTATCTTATGTCAACATATCTGTATGCATTTTTTTTAGCGGATTAAATTATTTTATATTGACTAATATTTTTAT